ATATTGTACTTGTTTTACTGCCTTGGAAACAATGAGTGAATTGGCGGATGGATTGCTTTGTCGAGGTTGATGCCAATTAATTTCCTTGTTGGTGGTGTTCTTTTGTTCTCCGTCCTCCTGCATAATTGTTTAATTAGTAATATCTTTTTTCTCTAGTGGGGAAGGTTCGAAAAATCTTGTTTTGCAATGCAATCAGTTCTTTTTTAAGCTTAAATCCACATGAATGACAATGAAATGGATATATCTTATCTAAGCTTAAATCTACCTGAATGACAATGGATTGCATGTTCTTATCAAGCTCTACTTATGTGTATATAGTATGCAACATGGAGTCTACATTTATGGAAAACAGACCTTCTTTAAGTACCTCTCATGAGTTATGCCTACATTGTCCTCATCTAATAGAGTGACGTTGTACCTGAAGTTTTGTTCTTGGTTATAGCTTTGTTATTTATTGTAGCAAAAGGCTTTCATAATTGGTTTTGCGAGTTGGAGAAGTTACCTTGGAATACCATTGAGTGTGCTGAGGATGCAGTTCAAGCATCAAAACTCCAATTCTCCTGGCGGTATTTTCTTGCGGCAATTAGTGCAGCTTAAGTAACTCCAATCTTCCATCACATCTCCAACTTTTTCCATGACTTGGCAGCTTTCTCCCTGCAGTAAAAGCAACAGGTATGTAATTAATTTTGGAACTGGAGTTGATGCAAATGAGTTTCGTTGCAGCAGTGTGTGTGTAATGTACTTGGTTTTCATAGTCTGTTTTTTGCTCCTTCCGGTTGTGCTGTACTCATGTGTGGAGGATCTAGTTGTTCTGGAATATTATAAGGAAGAGTTGCTAAAGGAATACAATCAATCTATCCAATTACAAAGAACCAAAACTAAAATGACGTTGGAGGGACTAAATCTTGATTACCCACAATGAGGGATGACAATAGAGAAATAGTAGCAGTGGGCATAAGGTTATTGGGACCTTCCTCAACAGGTATAGTAGTCGTCAATGTTATGCAAGTGTGGTTTCAATTTGGATGATTGATTATGGTTTTCTATGAATACATTAGTTATTTTTTGAGACAAAAAAAACTCTTAATTACAACACGGTTAATTGGTAAAAACTAAGATCAAAGCTACAACTATATCAGCAACTACAAAACATGGAAGGCGGATTTGGGGAATTACACCAGATGCATTAGCTAATAATGAATCCATTCAATTAAGGAATCAAACTCGATCCAATGGTAGTACGCGTGCAAGAAAAGAGAAGGAAAAATAATGTTGATGAACAGGCAAACAAAGAAACAACAACTCAAACATAGGCGGTTGTTTCTCCTCCACCCAACCTAAAATCTCAAACAAAAGCGTCAGAATCACTTTATCTGACTGTAATTAATAACAAAGTTTGCAACTTGTTGCAAAGGAAGGCGAGAATGATCCAAAGAATGTCAATTAGAAAGCAAATTTGCAGGACATAGACTGAACAAACTCATTAGAATGGGGCTTCAAGAATCATTGTGACGATATTGAGGGCTTAGCCAAGAAAATCTTGGCTTCGCAGGCCGCAGTCGGCGACAATTTGTCCGCGTCGTTGCCTTTCCCGATTAACGACAGAAGAGAGGATGTAGAGAATGAACCAACAGATGTCAATCAGAAAGCAAATTTGTAGGGCAAAGGGTGAGCAAACTCGTAAGAACAGGGATTCAAGAATAATTACGAAGATATTGAGGGCTTACCGAGGAGACTATTGACTTCTCATGGCGTAGCCGCCGAGTCGCCGACAGTTAGGCCGCGTCGTTTCCTTTCCCGAGCAACGACGGAATTGAGAAAGACCGCCTGACCCGTTCCCTTCCCGATCAACCACAGAAGAAAGGGACATCATTGGTGGGTATTGATCAGAAAGGTGGTACGCAGGAGGATTTGAGGCCGAAGAAGCAGACCATGGAGGATACTATTCTGGCTTTTTGGAGAAGCAAGCAATCGAGATTGAAAAGAAACAACAGAGAAAGAAAGGTTAACTAAAGGAAAGGCAATCATTTTTTACGGTTTTAATTAGGGCTGGGAAACGGTGCGGTCTGGTCCAGACCAGACCATATATACGGTCTATGGTCTAGACCGAGAGGCTAAAGTATAGACCACAGACCAGACCACATACTATACGGTCCAGTCTAGACCACGCCTATGAGGTCTGGTTCGGTCTGGTCTGGTCCAGATAGACCACACTCAACGAAAAATGAATAATTTGCTTAGTCAATCACACAAAAAATTGAACCAATAACAAAGAAAAAATATTGTTATTTGCCTTAAAACATTAATCCTAACATGCACGAATAATTTTGATACTCTAAATCTTAGTACATAACAAAGATACAAAGTAAAAGCATCCCAACTTGGACCATATTGTCATAAACATTAACATAATATCATATGGAGACAAGATTATCTCTACTCTCTCGTTAAATGTGGTTGTGAATGAAGGAGGGACGAGATTCACAAAACTAAGGTTGAGACTTGGGTGTCGTTTTGGGAGTTGGGAGAGTGATCGAATGGGCTGTTAACACGTATTGGCAAGTCAGTTGGGTCCACGGTTTGGTCCGGTAAACCGCGATCTAGACCAGACCAGATCAAGAGATCAAAACATAAAATAATACAGACCATGGACCAGACCAGACCATACTTAACGGTCTACGGTCCTGACCAAACTGTGCGGTACAGTTTGGACCACGGTTTTTCTAACGGTCTGGTCTATTTTCCCAGCCCTAGTTTTAATGCCCGTGCCATTAAAGTGATTGGAGGAAAATAGGTGATGACGTGGACGCATGAGGAGGGGGGAAATTTGAATCCCTGAAGCGTTTTTTCGGAAAGCCTATTATATATTCTTTAGATAGATTTTGTTAGTCAGCATCATTGCCGGTGATGTTAAGTTTAACATTCTTCATGGACGGAATGACTACACACTGAATTTAAACTTCTGAGCCAACAATTAACCAAAAAAATCAAAACTCGACTTGAATATATAAACAGAAAATCACTTAAAACCAGGCCAAACGGCAAACACACACTACGTACACGAGAATTTCTTCATTGCACCCGGTGCACCACGTGGGTTGTGCACCGCCCCAATGAATAACTGACGCGTGTTGATTTATTTAAAATTATAAATGTTATTATTATAATCTAAAGGTTGAAACAGCTGCTTTGTGCGGGGAAGGATAGCGGGGGCGACTAGAGTACCCTCCTGCGGGGAGCAGATCTGGTGAGTAATCTTGTGGTGAGTAAACCCATGCATAACCCAATAAGAATCTGCCACATCAGCGTCTCCTTTTCTCTCCTGGAAAAATCATTAATTTTCTATCTCTTAATCTTTAACGGACGATTTCTCACTTGTTTTAACTCGGATTTTTTTTTGCACAGTTAGATCAGATTAATTGTGCTCTTCAAAATGATATCCACTTTGATATTTTTTGGAACAAAAAAAAAAAATTTGCCAGTTATTACCAGTCAATATCATATGGTATAGTCAATACCATATGGTATTGACTGGTATTAAATAACAGCATACCATATGGTATGAAAAATACCACCTCATACCAGGGTGGTATAGTATGGTATGAAGTTGGTAACGATTCAAAATAATATCCACTTTGATATTTTTTTGAACAAAAAAAATTTGCCAGTCATTACCAGTTAATACCATATGGTATTGACTGGTATTAAATAACAGCATACCATATGGTATGAAAAATACCACCTCATACCAGGGTGGTATAGTATGGTATGGAGTTGGTAACGAGAGAGATGGAAATTTTCCCCATAAAATTTTGAAATCCAATAGATCATATGATTAAATCGTTCCTTTTGTGCTAAAATTTCCGAAAATGACTAAACAACGAAGGAGATACCATATGGTATGGAGTTGGTAACGAGAGGAATGAAATTTTTTTTTCTAAAAAAATATTGAAAATGGATATCATTTTGTAGAGCACAATGAACTCGTTCCATCTATGCGAAAAAATTGAAATCCGAGTTAGAATGAAGAAGATATGATCTAATTAAGAAAACTAGGGAAAATAAATTCCTTTAATTCTTTACCCTTAGATCTGCAGCCACTTAAAAGAAGGGTCCAGGTTTAGTTACTCATTGTTACTCACCCTAAGGTTACTCACCCTATCTTGAGCCCCTCCGGCGGCGATTCGGACTCCACCCCCACCAAAAGGCATCTTCTCGCACCGTTTGGCACTCTGCTCTCACTAAAAATCATTCCTCAATCCCATCTTGATTAGTTCCCCGTTCATTCTCTATCTAGGGTTTTTGTTTGATTGCCAATTGATTAATTGGGTTGGATCTTGGACGACCTGTCAATCGAACTACTGGGTGGTTTGTGTTAGTGTTGTGGTATATGATGCACGATTGAACCTCTCCCAACAACTCGAGTTATTGGGAGCAACTGGTTCTTGACATGGTATCAGAGCCTTCTGTGACCGAAAGGTCTTGTGTTCGATTCCCGGTGACCCCCATTTGTTAAGCACATGGTATTCTTGTCTTCAGACCTGTGCAAACTTCAAGCCCTTGTGAGTGACAGCTCCAATTAGGGATGAAAAAAATATCTGTAACCGTGGATATCCACCCGAATCCGATTATTGTCATACTTTTTCTCTTACGTAATGTGAGTATACGTGTGAATATTAACATATTGGTTGAAATTATAAGGATAAATTATTATTCATGGATAACCGTGGATACTCGAAACCCGAACAAGTATGGGTATGGTTTTGATTTTCTACCCGTTTCTCGTGTGGGTACGGATATGGGTTAAACCCGAACTACATTGAATATGGTAACAGATATGCACTATCTGCCCCCGACCTAACCCATTGTCATCCCTAGCTCCAATCCATTAATTCTTTAAAATATAAAAAGTGGGTACGCTTTATTACCCTCAACCTTTTACTACTGTTTCACTATTTGTCTCCTAGCGAAAAGGGGGGGTTTTCTGTTATGTTCTCCGTATGGAAGCTGGTCGCAGCGATCGGGAACGCTCCGACTGCGTTAGGTCAGAAGCCACAAGCCAGTTCCGCCGCTTCCCGGTTATATCAGCAGTCACGCCTCCCGTACGCATGGTCCAATTCGCCCTTACCGCAAGACCTGTAAAGAATAGTGTTCTTTTTGTCCTGCCGTCACTTCACCATGCTGTTTTCCCGGATCGCCGGTCTACCACTCATAAATCACTCCGCTCTGATCAACACGACACTGGCAAATCGATGTCCTTCCTCTCCCTGCTACTCTTTCATTAGTGGAAAAGCGAATTGGTCCATCCTATTTCTACTCGGTTCGTCTTCGCCTCATCTTCGCTTCCTGTTTCCTCTGTTTCTTCTGTTCTTGCATAACCTCTTCTCCCTAACCCGCTCCAATGAATCACGTCGTCCTCTCCAAGCTCACATGGACGGCCAAAGCTCCCCTACTCAATTACTATGTCATTTTATGTGTGTTTGTGAAATAGGGGTCTTGGGTCTTCGCGCAACCAGCCCCCGCAGCGGAGTAGCAGATTCCTCCCGCACTGTCGCCACTCAATTTCGACTCGCCTTGACCGAATCACCGCCCTCTCGACTCCTTTTGCGACTGAAGTAGCAGCTGGCCCTTCCGTACCCCTACCCCAGTCCGCCATTCCGGGAAATCTGCAGTAGCGGGTCACTCTTTGTCCTTTCATCCTTTCACCATGCCGATCTGCCAATCGGCCCTTTCCAGTAAACGCCGCTCTATCACTACCAGTACCAGCCCACTCCTGTTCAACACGCCCCCTCCCATTCATTGTACGTCCCTTGCCTTGCTCCCTTTGCTTAGTGGAAGAGCGACTTACTTCACCCCCTCTCCTCTTGAATTCATCTTCGACTCCTCTTCTTTCTTCAGCTGATCCTCTTCCATCCTCACCTCTTCTGCCTAGCTTGCTCCTATGAATCAAAACGTCTTTCCGAAACTCACATGGACGGACAAATCTCCCGTCCTGAAATTGCACCTCCTCCATACATGGAGAGTGTCAAAAGAGAAGATGGATTACGTTCCTCAGCGGAGATGCCTGCTCAGAAGCATCGGATCGCGAGGGCCTCCTTTTTGTTGTAAGTTACTCAATGATTAATTCTTCATTGGAGGTTTTAGTTTTCCACCGAACTTTGAACTCTCAATCTTAACCATAGTAAGATTTAGGTTCTATTTATGGTGGAGTGATTAGAAACACTTACAATGCTCTTTCTGTTGTCTTGGTTCAATTTATTTTAGATGTTGACTTGGCCATGAGTTTAGCCTTGAGTGGATGCGATAAAGGGCAGTTTTGAAGATAAAGTCTGGGAGATGAAGATGATTGATTAAAGAGTAGGTCAATCGGTGCAACGAATGTCAGCTGTTAATGGATCTATTTTCTTATTGTTTTCACAATCTTCGTTTTCTTTCCCTGCTACTGTTGGGCTGTAATTCTGCTGTTGTTGTCTGCTAGCTGTTGCTGCTGTTATGCTTGCTGCTATCCAACACTTCGATTACCTTTTTTGATAGGTAGAATGATTTTCATTTTGTTTCTCGAAGTTTCTTTGAATTTTATAAGCCATGGATTTAGCTTAATCTTGATTGCTAACCGTTCATATCTAATCTACACATTGGAAAAGGCAGATATGTAGGTCTGTTGGGCTGTTGAGAAGTTCACAACTTGAAGAACAATGTTATCTTTTCAGAGGGTGAGTTGAGTTATGGAATGGGTTAGTTGCACACATGTTCCTGCTTACTTCATCCACTAAAATTGGATGCAAAGCTTTTCCAGGAGCCATTACTGAACTGTTTTCCAGTCCTGAATTGCTTTTTTCATCTATTCAGGATTTCAGGAAGCCATTGCTGAACTGGAATATTGGTTAACGAAGTTCGCAAGGTGAACTACTGAACTTGATACATACGACATTTATGTATGATCACTCTTCATCCAGAACTCGCTGTGGGAATTCTGCTTCTCATCTTCTTCCTTAGTTTAAAAGGTTTGCTTAATGTTTTCAAATATAATTAAAATTAGTTTCAGGTTTGAGTGCTTGGAGAGGGAGAGTTTGATAAGGTTTAAAGGTTGCCTTGACGAGTGCATCACAATAACAGTGATGTTTGGATTTGTCTTTCTGTTCTCTTTTCCATTTCAGCTTGAGTTTTCTTTCTCTCATTGATAATGCCCAGTCCAGTCATTTTATCAATGTTGATTTAGCTGCTCAGAGGTTCGATTCTTTGGCCAACGAGTCCACTTTCTGTTGTTAGCTACAGTTTGTTGCAGAGTGCGGATGCCATATCCTTGATCCTTATTTAGCTGCTTAGAGGTTCCGATTTATGCTCACTGGTCATGTTTTGCCTGTTTGCAGGTACGAAGCTGAGTTTTAGGCAGGACTTTGAGCATCTTATTTGGACTACAACATAAAAATTTGGTGAGATTTCTAGGTCACTATGCTGAAGGTCCTCTCCTACAGTTTCAGTCAGAAGGAGGAATGCTAATAACTTTATGTTCTGTAGAAGATGAGCCTTAGTATTTATGTCTAGCAACATTCAACATTATGCATTTAATTTGTAATTTCTCTTTTTTCTTAGCATTTTGTAATTTTATGGAAATAGAACTACTACTTTCCTGCTTTCCTAGAGTTCCAGAGATAACTGCAATGGTGACTTACTTGATTTGTATTATTGAATTGCAGAGTAGGATGATAAGGAGGTTTCTAAAATCAAAGCTGGGTTGGCAGATGCTGATGCCTTGATAATATTAATAGCTTTATTTGTACCCAATTTTATGTTCCATACAAAGTCTCTTTATTACTAGGACATCATTCATCTCATCTGAGGACACCAAACCTTTTGAAGATGCTACATTTCCAGCCAATAAGCATTTGTTCGTCTTAGCCTCTTAGGACATCATCGATGCAAAACCTTTGCATTACATTAGTTGTCAAGTGCAATAGGGCAACGTTGATGTTTACATTTTACAACATTTTAACAAAAAGCAGGAGAGAGATCCATACATCATGTTTTGCTTCAATAATCTGTAGTGTTTTATGTACAGTTTGGGTGCTACAACAATTGTTTGTCTTTCATAAGACATGAAAACTGATTGCCAATTAGCGCTTTCTGAACATGCATTTGCTTTTCAACATGAAAATACATTTCGTCTTCAAAATGTGGAACTCAATGGCAAAAAGATGTATGTTAATAGCACAACATGCTAATTAACTATGGAGCTCAACATAGAAAGCAATAATACTAGGGGGTGTCCATTCGAGATTATCCGAACCGACTTGATTATATGCATATTCGGTTTTTCAGGTCTGGGTTTGTTTTGGTTTTTGGATTTTTCGGTTTCGGGTTCGGTTTTGATTATCGGGTTTTCGGATTCCGACTGAAAACCTCCAATGTATAGAACTCAGCCCGTATTCTTAGGCGTTCGGGTTTCCGGGTTTCGGTTTTGATTTAATCGAACCCGATAAGGAATTTTCGTGGAATTTTCGTGTTTCGGGTAACCGGAACCTGCAAGTCCTTATCGGGTTCAGGTTCGATTTTCAGTGGTTTTCAGTTTCGGGTTTTTGAGTTTCGGTTCAAATAATCGAACCCGACCTGAACTGACAACCCTAAATAATACCACGATTTCAATTTATCATCACCTAAACTGCCCACCACACGGGTATTAATTAATTCTATACATGAAATGTGGGTACTCTTTATTGGCCCAAGTTGTATGTTACTGTTTCATTATTTGGCGTTTAGTGTCATAATCCCTATGGAGTTGCTCCCGCAACCTCCCCGTTGGCCGTTGCCGGCCCGAGCTTCCCATATCCCTTTTCATCCATCGGCCATTACCTCTGCTAACGTCTCATCAATTTTACAGACGACCATGCTTTTCTGTATCCCCCATCCTTTCACAATCTCAGTCCAAAATCGGCATCGCACGCCACCCCTTTAATCTTCTCTCCTCCCATCACCACTCTAGGCTTTGCTTCTCGATATAGCGAACTCTGCAAACCTGCTCAAACACTTCACCGCCCATGCTTTTCTAGATCGGCCTGGACGAAGAAGAGGATGGAAGAAGGAAGAATAGGAGAACAAAAAACCTCCCACCTCTCTTTGTCTCTCGAAAAAGGAGAAAAGATTAAGAGAAAACCCGATGAAGGAGACCTCTCACCCGCCCGCAATTTTTCTTTAACAAATCTATCTCCGGATTCCTCTTTTCCTCTAGGTACTTCTTCTTTGCTGAGTTTCTTCTTTTGGCGTTTGTGATTTTCCCTAATCTCTTTCCTTCCGAACGACGAAGACAACGCCATCACCGCCCTCCCATGGAGCTCTGCTTCTCCCGGTGGAACAATGAGAATGGTAAAAAAAATCAAGGAGCAGCGGTGCTTGCTGCAGAAAATAGAGGTCGACATTCACCGTGCCCGACGCTTAAATTCCGCTTCACTGGATCTGTTGTGGCCTCAGTTGGTCGCGGACCTTCAGTTCGTGTTGGACAGGAAAGACCGAAACAGGTACGTTGATGTTTCCACTGATTGATTCCCTGTGATTAGTTGTTTGCCCTTGGTACATTTCATTGAATCAAAGGCTCCCTTGATACATTTCGCCGACCTTTAGTATACTTAGCTTACCTAATTACTTGAAAGGATTGTCCAATCTCTTCGTTGCTCAAATTTTTAGAACCTCTCTTTAAATTGATTGTGTTTCTGTTTCTGACGCTTATCTCTGTTGTACGTGTGCCGTTACATGATGTACTGTATGCTGGTCGCAGAAAAGCCTCACTCTCAATCACGTTATGGGCGGAGTTTGCAGAGAAGCTGGCTCTTCCTGAACTCATTCAAATGGATGGAGCCGCAGTAGTGGTTTTGACATTCACCAATATCAATCCCTCCATTTGGTGTGGTACATTTCCCTCATGTTCTTTGTTTATTTACACTTCATGTCTGCCACATGTCTTTGTTGAAACTCTATTCAGCAAGCCTAAGCAGGTTATTGCTGCCAATCCTTCCTCTTTCTCTCAAGCTCATTAATGCGAGAACCTTTTGAATGATAACTGTACTGAGTTACCACTTCTCTGATTTCTTTTTATTTAGGGTCATATGGGACTTCATTTGGTGCATTTTCATGTACAAAGTAACGAGTTGCAAACATAAACTCATATGACATGTAAACAGGGTAAATGACTTGTGTTCATGTCTTTCATTATGATTCGTGGGATAAGTATATGACTTGTGTTCATGTCTCTCATCATTCCTTGATTATCATGCTTGCCTTCAAACCTGTTCTTGCTCCTCATACTTTCCAGAGCTTATAGGAAGTTTATCAAACCCAGCTAAGAGGTCCATTTGTTTAAAAAATTCCTGCCTGAATTTATCAAAATAAAGAACAATGCAAAATAACCTTCCTGCCTGCTGACTTATTTGCATAAAATTGATATTTTGCCCGGTAATAGAACTCCTATGCTGCAATGTAAATAGGAAGGATGGACATGTGAACCATGGATGAAGGTATTTAATACTTTCTAATTACCAGTTTATGTGACTTCCATCTCCTGAAAATTTTATTCTCTTACCATAATTATTACAGCAACTTCATTGCCCTTAAATGGCTTCATTATAAGTTACTGATGCAAACTCCTTTGATGGATTCGTTTGATTGCTAATTATTCTTTTTACCAACCTTTCACATTTGGAGGGTAACCCTGTTGCCAATCCAATCCACGGAAGCTGCAAAAAGATTTTGCTGGTGTTGTGTAGTTTGTCATTTTCCTCTTTTGTGCTTCACTTGGTTAATCACAGTTTGAATTTAGTTCATCATAAGTTGTGCTTAGAAGCTTCAATAAATAGTATAATTGTGACATCACCTGTGTTCCTTCCTCACCTGCATTTGACTCAGTCGATGGTGATTCATTTGTCAGCCATGCCTTTGTTATGGTGAATTCTGAGCCTCTACTTTTATGCAGTTTGAATTCTCCACGAGCTGGGATCAACTTTGCAAGTACACCATTAATACCAAGAAAAGGCAGAAAACTGTTGACTCTACCAGTATAGAGTCGCACCAACTTCTGCCATGGTATGTTTCGTGCCTTCCTTTTGTTGTCACTGTGCTCTTATTTCATGCACTAATTAACTTAAATACGATAGTCTCTGCTTCCATCAGAAACCATCGCTTGCTGCAGCACTGGCTAAAACCATCCTCACCTTTTATGTCGCCCGTCAACCTGTAAATCCCTTTTTCACTATTGCCCGCACTAACCTTCATTGGAGTTGCATGTGGACTGATTGCATCACTTTTTTCCACACTTTCCCCACCCTCAGTCAACCCCATGCAAAAGTGAAGACTGAGAAGTTAAACGGTCAAGAACAAGAAGAAAACCCCTAATGATTCTGAAGATCTGCCCATCAATAACAAAAAGTAATGTGTTGTAGTAGTTGGAACGTCAAGTATACGTCAGTGGACGATGCTTTATATCAGGCAAAGATTGGCAATTCAGTGTTTGAACTTTGAAGTCATCACCACTCGCCTTCGGAAATGAGACCAATTAAGACGATGCCTCACATGATGTCGTGACATTTATTTATATATTGTATTTTCTTAGATTGCGCTATTGGTATTCGATAACATATATTTTGCTTCAGTCCGCTAAATGGAGTTTGCTTAGATTCTACATGCAAGAATATCAATTTTGTTCAGCCAAGTTATGGAAAGCGACTGTTCAATGGTTCTTCCATATGCAGATCATTTTCTGTCTATAAATCATACTACTACTTAGTGCCTGCCGCGTAGCCGCGGGTATTGTTTCTATTTTGTTTGATTTCCAAGTGAACTTCACCACCTCCATTGAAGCGCTGTTCTAGAGCTACCAGCGGGAAGAGGTGGTGCCGCCTGCCGGGAGCAAAAAATGTGAAATCGGAGCCGCACAATTTCAGGCCATTTCAATTCTTCCGTCCACTATGCAACAATAACCCGAGAATTTTGGTTACTTGCGATAACAACAACACCAATTTGATCAACAAGGAACCTGCAGAAAATATTTTTGTAATAATGAATAACCCTATACCTCTTTTTTTTTCCATGTGAATAAGGATTCCTATTAGAGAAGAGAAAAGGAGAACCGCCTTTCTCTTCTCTTCTCTTCTCTTCTCTTTATATATTGACCATTAATTACAAAAGGGAGAGAAGACGAATACAAGAAGCGCAAAGGCTAGGGAGCTGTTGTTGGGAGCAAAGCAATCTTTAGCAAAAAGATGGCGACGAGGGCGAGGGCAGCCGGTGCTTGTCCGAAATACCCTTTCCTGGTGCGGTTTTGCAAGAGCGACGATGATGATTCATCCTCCACCTATCAACTCTACTCTTCCATCTCCAAAGAATGGTACTTGGTGGATGCCCCGCCGGAGCTGGACGACACCCGAATTCACTGTTCCAACTACGGCTGGTTGCTGTTGTCGCGAATCGATCGCCTATTCTTCTTCCATCCCTCCACAGGAAACACCATCGACTTGCCCAACCTATCCTGCAGTTACAATCGACTGAGCTTTTCCGCTCCTCCTACACGTCCGGACTGTGTGGTTTTCAGTATGATGGATACATGCGTTCAGCACGAAATCTACAATGGCAACATCGCCATCCTCCCAAGAGGGGAGAGTGCTTGGACGTGCGAGAAGCTCGCGAATAGGGCGACTGACTCGCTATGACACAACACCTAACAATGGCCAAGTGTAACCAATGGAAGGGACTGCAGTGTAGTGGCTCAAGTGATAAATATCGAATCCACGGGTCTCTAGAGTTACTATTACTCAGCTTCAGTTTATTATTTAGCAAACCAGATTAAGATGAAAGAACTAAAACTACTCTAGCAAACTACAGTTAAAGTTAATCTAATTACCGGTTGGGAACTCACTTAGGTATGATTCCCCCTAGCCACTAGCCAGACTAACGATTGATGATTTCTAACTTGTTTCACTTTCATTCACAATGCGGAGAATCCTTGACTAGACCTTGAGTCTCGACTAAAGGAACAAGGCCCTCTTGAGTCAATTGCCTAGAGGGACGTATCCTTCTCTAGAACAACTGATCAAGGCGTTCTGAACTAGACTCCCTCTATCGAAAGAGGTTCTCAATCGATACAAAGCAGTGAATCAACCCTCGACTAAAGCAATCGATCCACTACTATCAATCTATGGTGCTCTATTGACCTAATAAGGTATTCCATCTCATAGGATCAAAGCAGAATCAATAATCTCGACTAAAGCAGAATTGAATCATGAAAACATGCATAGATTGAATATGAACTCAAGATTATCAAGTCAGAGTACTCATACAATCATCCAATCAAACAAACATAGCTAGGGTTCCTCCAAACCTAAGTGAAGGGAAGTTACTCCACAGAGAAGAAAGAGACTGCAGTAAGAATCTTCAGATGATCAGTCTTCAAGTCCGGGCTTGTTCCTCGAGCTTCCAAGGCGAAGAAATCCTCCAATTCCACTCCAAGAATGCCCTCAAATCGCTCTCTCTCTCTCTCTTTGGTTCGTCCCTTGGGTGTTTGGGATCCAAAACCCAGCTCTCCCCTTTCCTTTGGCTGAAAATCTACTTAAAAGCAGAAAATCCCGACTCGCACGGGCAGGCCGCACGGCCGTGTGGCTCACCCAGTCGCCGTGCGAGTCAAAACGCAGCGTATCACTTAGTTGAATTCCAGGCTTCTTACACGGCCAGGGTCGCACGGCCGTGCAGCTCACCTTGCAAGGCCGTGTCGATTTTCTGCTCTGCCCGTGTTTGCTCTCGCACAATCCCACACGGCCAAACTGGTCACTTGCACGGCCGTGTGGTTTGTGGGTGTGCCCGTGCGACTTCCTTTGTGACTTTCCTCGCGCCCAATCTTCGCCCAATCGGCCCCGAACTCGCTCCTAAACCTTCATTCACTTGCCAGGACCTGAAATATCACAAACAAGCACAACCTAGCGTGAAATCGGTCTAAAACACGAGAAACCACATCTCAAACGGTGTAAGAACAGGGGTGAAAACATGTGTAACTAGCGGTCTATCAAACTCCCCCACACTTAACCGTTTGCTTGTCCCCAAGCAAACCTAACTCAAACCAATGCAACTCTCCAGACCTCTATAGCAACAAACAACCTAGATCGTAGGCAGAGGACTTCCTAGATCATTTAGCAGCTTACGAGGTCAACCGACGCACAAGTCATCTCATAGCTCCTTCGGCGAGAGCACTAGTATCGAGTCGGCATCATGGCAAACAATGAACAGAGGACAAATGAATTGAGGATGAAGAGATTCTCAAAAACAAAGGATCATGGACTCACATTTTTCAAGGTGCTTATTTTCTTCTTGAAGATGGTTGGAACCCCTTTTCTTTCTGTTTTGCTTGTTTTCTGTTATTTTTCCTTTTTTTTTCAAGGGTCCCAACCTGCTCTTACCGGCCATGCCAGGAGCGGATGTCTCGAGCCTCGTGCGGGGGAAAGACATGTAAGGGGGCTGGAGGTAGTAGGTGGAAATTGGGAACGGATTCCCGTCTCCCCTTACACACTTTCGCCCTATTCGCACGGGAGACGTTATTTTGAAGCACATTTTCGAGCACCTGTTATTTTCAAGACATGATACAAGAGTCCATGACAGGTAGAGAATCCACAACACCACACAATTCAAGGGTCCTAAGATCACTAATTCACTCAATTAACCAACACAATATGAAGAAGAAATGAGACTTCTTAAATGCATCAACATCCTCCATAGTGCTACACTACCTCCCTAGGTTGCATATTACTATAAAGACTGTCAATTCAAAGCATACTGAGCAGGCAATTGCATGGAAACACGTACTTGGAGCCCTCAAATTTAAAAATTTGGACAGTGGACTAGGCTCCAAGCACACAAACATATCTAATGCAGTCAAAAGATAAACACCCCCCCACACTTAAGATCGACATTGCCCTCAATGGAGAAGAGGGAAGGGAAAGGGGAACGATGTTACCGGTATGCACGGACTGCAGGAGACTGGAAGCGGACCAGTTGGAGTGAAGCAGACTGGATAGAGAACAGTCAAGACAAGCACAGCCAAAGGAAACCCAAAGAGCTCAAGCAGAATATGTTAGGTCCAATGTCAGCCCAATAAGACATCATCCAAAACAAAAGAAAACAAACCAAAACCAAACTGGTTTACAAGCCGACTCAAAACACAAGAAAGAAAGTCAAACCGTGGTGGGGTTGCCTCCCCACAAGCGCTTCTTTACCGTCTTTTAGCTGGACGCCCATGGTGGATACTCAGGGAGGTGCAGGAACAGGTGCCTCCAAGAGCGGATCCACGTCGCTCTTGAGGTACAGCTTGAGGTTCTGGCCATGCACCCGACGGATGTGACCACCATCATCGGTCAGCTCGACCTGGCCATCCGGCAAGATGCAGGCGAGTGAGTACCCGGACGGCCAGGGTGGTCGTGATGCAGGAGGTGGGATCAGCTCATAGTGGTCTCCACTCTTCTTCCGTGCAGGCTTAGCAACCTGCTGCTTCGGCCGCCACTCCTCCTTGATCTTTTTGTTCGGAGGCGAGGCTGGATGGAGTGGCGGCGAAGGAATGATAGGAGGGTCCTCCAAAATGAGAGGTGCAGAAGGATACACGACAGGCTCGTGTACCTTATCAGAAATGGCATGTACATGCGTGACAGCAATCATAGCACAGTGATCAAATTTAGTCATAGAAAAAGTAGCATGTTCATTCCCAGCACGCAGGATCAGTTTACCATCATGCACATCAATAAGTGCCTTGGCGGTGGCAAGAAATGGTCTACCCAGAATCAAAGGCACATCCACATCCGCATGTATATAAAGAATAACAAAATCAACAGGATATGTGAATGCACCGACACTGACAAGCAGATCCTCAATGATCCCCCTAGGATGCACAATGGAACGATCAGCCAGCTGAATGCTCATCTTAGTAGGGCTAAGTTCACCTAGGTCTAGCTTTTTATACAACTTATATGGCATGACATTTATGCTAGCGCCTAGGTCCGCCAAGGACTTGCCTACATGCATGCTGCCAATTGTAAGAGGGATAGTAAAACTCCCTGGGTCTTTTCGCTTCTCGGGCAGCTTGTTCTGCAGGATAGCAGAACACTCCTCACTGAGCATCACTGTCGAAAGATCCCCAAGTTTCTTCTTGTCGGTGAGGAGGTCTTTCATGAACTTGGCATACTTGGGCATCTTCGACAGTGCCTCCACGAACGGTATGTTGATGTTGAGCTGCTTCAACATTGCCATGAACTTGGCAAACTCAGTCTCCAGCTTGTCTTTGTGTAGGCGAGTGGGGAAGGGAAGTTGGGGCACATGCTCCTTAACCACTGGTTATGGCCTGGGAGCAGGGGCTTCCTTCTCCACCCGCACTTCTGCATCGTCGGCTGGAAGTGCTGAAGCAGGTAGTGGTTCCTCCTGTCTGGCCGGGACAGGATCAACAGATATGGTCTTACCGCTCCTAGTAAAAATGGCATCCAGCTGCTGGAGCTGGTGAGGATCCCGAGGATTCGGGATAGTGGTGGCAGGCAGAGTCCCCGGTGCCCTGGTAGTGTTTTGGCGGGCCAAGATGCCCACCTGCGTCTGCAGATCTTGCAAAATGGCACCCTGGTTCCACTGACCTGCCTCCAGTGATGTGATAGCAGCCTGAGTGCTAGTCATGAATGAAGCTAGAATATTTTCCAGCTTTGTCATCCGGTCATCTGGGGCCGGAGCTGCTGCTGGCTCGACGAACTGGCGCTGGGGCTGCTGGAATGGTTGCCCCTGCCTAGGCTGGTAGGGCTGCTGCTGTGGGGCTGGCCCCTGTCGAGCCTGGAAGGGCTGCCTCTGCTGAAAACCACCGGCTGGTGCTGGGAAACCAGGTGGTTTAGTGGTGTTGCTGCTCCAGGCGAAGTTGGGATGCTGGCGCCACCCCTCATTATATGTGCTGCTGTACGGGTCGAGGCGCCGAGCATTGGCGATGAAGTCCAACTGCTCTTGGGGAGTGGTAGACTCCCTCATAGCTTGGCAGTCCTCCACTAGGTGATTGGAGCTCTCACACCACTGACATTGAGCTACTAGAGGTGTAGCCAAACCTCTGCCCGGAATAAGACTGTTGGGCTGCTTCAATGTCTGCACTAGCTCAGCTACCTGCTGCTCGAGCCCGGATCAGGTCTCCATGGCGTGCACACCACGGTCCCGGGACTGTCTGCCTCGGCTACCCTGACCCCAGGAATGATCTCTGGCAGCCAAAGTATTAATCATCTGGTTCAGTTCTGGTGGAGTCTTAGTAAGAACATCCCCTCCTGGGCATAGAGACTCAATCACCCTCTGGCTGTCTAGAGAGAGAGCACTGTAGAAGTTCCCCACTGTGAATACATCACTAAAGCCATGATGGGGACACTGCCAGAAATATCCCATGTACCACTCCCATGCATCACGAAGTGACTCATCTGGCTCTTGGCGGAAGTGAGTGATCTCCCGCTGTATCTCGGTAGTCTTCGATGCCGGATAGTACCTGTGCACGAATTTGTCAGCCAGATCGTCCCAAGAGGTGATGGACAATGGGGGCTGGGTCTCCAACCACCTCTTAACATTCCCCGCCAGAGAATGGGGGAAGAGATGAAGGCGGATTGCATCATCCGGGACACCATTAAGCTTGAACCCGTTCGTCAGCTGCAGAAAACGGGAAAGATGCACCCTGGCCTCCTCATCCTTCAAGCCATGGAACTGGATAGAGGATGTAATGAGCTGAATCCAGCATGGCTTGATCTCGAAGTTATTTGCTGGAATAGGCGGGTAGAGGATGACCGGGCGGATGTCAGCAATCCGAGGAGTGTAGTAGTACTCCAAGTTGGGACCCGGCTGCGGTGGATGTTGAACCCCATGATCCTGGGGTATGGGGTTGTTCCCCAGGACCTGATTCACCGGGGGAACCTGCTGCGGATTCCCCTGGTGTTGATTGTAGTCTCCATCCATCTCGTGCTCTTCTTCAGAATCGCTACTCAGGTGGCCGTCTATGCGCTCTTCCGTAGCCAGTCTAGCTCGCTGTTGTCTCCAGAGCTGGCGACAGGTGCGATCAATCTCTGGATTCAACGGCAGTAAAACTCCTGACTGGCTACGGGTCATGCACTACCTGCACACACTCAAGCAAGCAAACCCGTGAAGGCACAAGTGGGACAAAGCAAACAAAGGAAAAAAAAAAAAGCTAAATTAACAGAAATCACTTTTCTTCAACAACCTAGCCGTCCCCGGCAACGGCGCCAAAAACTTGACTCGCTATGACACAACACCTAACAATGGCCAAGTGTAACCAATGGAAGGGACTGCAGTATAGTGGCTCAAGTGATAAATATCGAATCCACGGGTCTCTAGAGTTACTATTACTCAGCTTCAGTTTATTATTTAGCAAACCAGATTAAGATGAAAGAACTAAAACTACTCTAGCAAACTACAGTTAAAGTTAATATAATTACAGGTTGGGAACTCACTTAGGTATGATTCCCCCTAGCCACTAGCCAGACTAATGATTGATGATTTCTAACTTGTTTCACTTTCATTCACAATGCGGAGAATCCTTGACTAGACCTTGAGTCTCGACTAAAGGAACAAGGCCCTCTTGAGTCAATTGCCTAGAGGGACGTATCCTTCTCTAGAACAACTGATCAAGGCGTTCTGAACTAGACTCCCTCTATCGAAAGAGGTTCTCAATCGATACAAAGCAATGAATCAACCCTCGACTAAAGCAATCAATCCACTACTATCAATCTATGGTGCTCTATTGACCTAATCAGGTATTCCCTCTCATAGGATCAAAGCAGAATCAATAATCTCGACTAAAGCAGAATTGAATCATGAAAACATGCATAGATTGAATATGAACTCAAGATTATCAAGTCAGAGGACTCATACAATCATCCAATCAAACAAACATAGCTAGGGTTCCTCCAAACCTAAGTGAAGGGAAGTTACTCCATAGAGAAGAAAGAGACTGCAGTAAGAATCTTCAGATGATCAGTCTTCAAGTCCGGGCTTGTTCCTCGAGCTTCCAAGGCGAAGAAATCCTCCAATTCCACTCCAAGAATGCCCTCAAATCGCTCTCTCTCTCTTTGGTTCGTCCCTTGGGTGTTTGGGATCCAAAACCCAGCTCTCCCCTTTCCTTTGGCTGAAAATCTGCTTAAAAGCAGAAAATCCCGACTCGCACGGGCAGGCCGCACGGCCGTGTGGCTCACCCAGTCGCCCGTGCAAGTCAAAACGCAGCGTATCACTTAGTTGAATTCCAGGCTTCTTACACGGCCAGGGTCGCACGGCCGTGCAGCTCACCTTGCACGGCCGTGAAGCTGAGCTGCACGGCCGTGTGGATTTTTTGCTCTGCCCGTGTTTGCTCTCGCACAATCCCACACGGCCAAACTGGTCACTTGCATGGCCGTGTGGTTTGTGGGTGTGCCCGTGCGATTTCCTTTGTGACTTGCCTCGCGCCCGATCTTCGCCCAATCGACCCCGAACTCGCTCCTAAACCTTCATTCACTTGCCAGGACCTGAAATATCACAAAGAAGCACAACCTAGCATGAAATCGGTCTAAAACACGAGAATCCACATCTCAAACGGTGTAAGAACAAGGGTGAAAACATGTGTAACTAACGGTCTATCAGCGACTAATCTAAACCTACACCGTAAACATGATTTTCCGACAAGAGGCCGCAATACTACTACTTCCAAGAAGAAGATGAGAAGAATAATGCGGCGGCGCTGTAGATGGTTCTCTATCTCGAATCCTCCTTGCAAGGCAAAGGCGATTTTCAAGTGGTCATGCTCTGGCTCCTCCCCTGTTTTCCACAATGGAGCTTTCTACTGCCTTGACCAACAAGGACGGTTGAGAGTCTTGGAACCTCGCAGCAACAAGTGGAGACTGCTCACCACGGAACATTCCGCCTTCACAAACAAACCTACCAACCAAGGTTATCTCATGGAATCACACAAGGGAGAGTTGATCTCGATCGTGGTTGGGCCACGAGGAAAGTCCGTCACCGTCCTCAAGTTGGACAAAAATCGTACAGTGTGGAGACGAATGACCGACGTTGAGGGTCGAGTGGTTTTCTTGAGCCCCGCGTCATGTATGACCATGTCGTGCGAGGAGCTAGGAGTGGAACAATGATTATACGAGAACACCATTCATTTCGCGAGGTTTTGTGGGAGGCACAATGTATTCTACTCGCTTTCGACTAGGAAGTTCCACTCTTTGGGAGGAGGATACGCTTCATCATCATCATCGGTGGACCTCTGTGGTACGCGCATTCCAATGAATTGTACTTGGATACCAAGTTTCCAATACTTTTTGTAACACCCTACCCTATACGTATTACCTAATCATATTGTTCATACAATTGCAGCGGAAATAATCTCGGGTGTTACATTAATTATCAAAATTTACCCAAATAAAATTTCGACATGAATTACTCGCGTAATGGGCTAACAGTTCTTGCAATTATCCTGCAAAATAATTCATCACAAACATATATACTCACAACCATATGCATTGGCTTTTCTTAGCCATAGTCACACTTTCATACTACACAACTGCATACTATACTGATACAAGCCATAATCGTCACAACTTACATATTTACAAAAATATACACATATCATCAACTTTCCACACCTGTGGATATCTCACACTACATCAGAAGCTAGTATGCACATGAAAAACGTTCTCAAAACATTTTTACAAAAAGGTGTGGATCACTGGCCAAAATCCCGAGTAGTAGTCCAAGCACAGAGTAGTTGAAGACCATACCTCATCTTGCCTTCAACTCTTGCTCAGCTCCTACCTATACACCTATCTACTGCTGATGATGATGATGATCTGCTTACACATAGCATAAGCAGAGAAGAAGAATAAAAGAGGGTCAGCTCATAGCTGAGTGAGATAATCATAGCATCGTGAGTTCATAACAGAGCATACCCCTACCATACATCTAACAATCAAGCCAAAACACTAGGATCGGACCTCAGCCATCCTCATATCCCAATAGGCAAAAGACTCAACCACCTTGACTTATGCATATGCATCTTATCATGTTTTACTCATAGGCGCCTGGCTACTCCCATGCTAATAACTCTCCCGGGAAACATACCCCACATCCCGTCGGATGTAGTCATACATACCCCACACCACTATGGGTGTAGTCATACCCCGACACCGCTCTGGGTGTGGTCATATCTCATAAGAATTCTTCAGTCACCACCACATGAGAGGTGTGACTATCATACATATCATAATAGAGTAATAGCATAGGGAGCCCTAATTACTACGTAATTGACCGTGAGACAACAACACTCATATTTGGTATCCTTATACATGTTTAATATATCATCTTGCTTAATCATAATTCGTTACTTACACATGTACTTGACCTGACCATAGTTGGCTCAACATAGGTAAACCAGGAGTCGTATAGTTGCACTTCCTCGGGATAAACCCTCGTGCAAGTCATCCTCCTTAAAACATCATAATATCACCAGGGAATATATATTTTCCCACTTGTGCATCCAAATACAACAATCATGAAAAATCATACCTAATCACCTTCTCGAACCATCGTAAAGCATATTTACAGTCAAGCCCACAATTTGCAATATATACACAATCATCAGCATAAACAAGGTTCATATCGATTAGGGCAAGTCAATAATATCATACAGTAATCCAGGGTTCAACATATAGCACAAAAGCTCATACACCCCTAATCATGCCATTCTAGTTCACCTAGATCAATTCTAAGCATCAATATAATTATCGTGATACGACAAACCCGGTATGCCGTGCTAATCCCTCACCAGTTCTGGTCGTTCAAACACCGGTTTAACCTTCTCGTACTAAAACGTCAATTTCACGAACGAACCCCGAATTAAAATCCGAGACCGTCCTAATATCCCCTCACTGCAGGAAGCTCGTATATGAAATTTGGGCTCAATCCGGCTTCCGGATACTCCGAAACCCTAATTTAGCTTATCGGGAATTCAAGAAATTCGGGATTTTTGGATCACTGTAGCTCAAGAATTGAGCTTTGCAATTTCTCCCCGAGCTCCCCTGTTCGCTCTGTCTCGTTTCCTCTCGGTGGAAAGTGAAAAGAAGATTGGGAAAATGGAATTAAATGGACGCAGTGTGTGTATATGTATATATATATATATATATATATATATAATTAATTAATTAATACGTATACTTATCCGATCGATCGATAATCCGATTTTCGCCGAAATACTGTCAAAACGCTCGATTTTAAATCGCGAACTTTCTAGCGATCGAAATATGAGTTTTACCGGAACGAGATGTTACACTTTTCGGACCGTCAGCTCGATTGGTCTGATGAACTAATAATCCAGGAAGCAGCAGCAGCAGCAAAAGAAGAGGAGGAAGGTGTCTGGGATCAGGAAGCACCAGTTGGAAGGCCATGGATCATTCTATCCCATGGTGATAAAGGAGAAGAAGCACACACATATGTGGACATGGCCAACGGCCTGCACCATTCAAGACCAATGAGTGATTTGGAAGATAGGTTGAGAGGGATGAAGGTTTACGGCCACGGTTGTGGGCGGATGTTGCTCATGGATCTCGAGGAGGCATGTGATTGTGTGTTATTGGATACTAAATCTCTCATCTTTGATGCACTACCACCCTGGAAAAAGCGTGAAAATTTCGTCTACCGGTGCTGCTTGCTCTATTTACCACCCCATCCACCAAGTTCCAAATTCACGGTCATGGTGTTTGGTGTGGATCGAACTTTAAGCAGCAGGGGAGATAGCAATGTTGTGGCTGTGGCTGTCTTCTGTGGGGTTGGCGACAAAGAGTGGACGGTATTCCTAGGAGGAGTTTGTGTCGATGGAGTTGCTGCATGCCAAGGTAAGATCTATGCCGTAGGGTCACTACCAAGAGGGACATTCCAATTCTTCGAGATTATGCTACAACCCAGCTACACGGTCAAACTAGTTCATAAGGTTGACCTTACTAACATATCTCGGTTGAGAGGATGTGCCGACATCAGACGTTATCTGGTCGAATCATGTGGCCAGCTTTTACTTTTCCACACTTCTTTTGCCGGGAATCCATACATGAACGGCAATGCAAATGTTATCGTGGACATCAAGGCGCTTAGGATTGATGTCAAGACAATGAAGACAAAAGTGGTTGACGATCTTGGAGACATGGCCTTCTTTCTTAGTTGGTCGGATATGAATTTTTTCGGGTCGGGTGGGTTCGGATTGTGCGCCAGCAAATATGGATTCAAAAGAAACACCATTTACATGGTAAATCCATTCGATAGCAACTTATACTCGTACAATTACCGAGATCGAAACGTTTCAATTACCTTGTCATGTCCTCAAGTAGAAAGTTGTTCGATGCATGAGATTGTTTTGTGTCATTAATCAACTAGTCTAGAAGATTGTAAGGTTGATACATTCAGTCTTGTATGTAATTTTGTTTTGTTTTTTCAATCTAATAATAATAATAATATTTAAGCGCAAATCATTATTCGATTAGGCTTTGGCCACTGCATGCAACAAGTAAGCTTCTTTTATTTATACATATGATCGATGAACAAACTCTTCTAACGAAATGACATAATCAAATCTTCTAATGAATTCCCTGATGTTCAGTCGATAAATATGATCACTCAGGCTAATCATAAGACTTTGAAAAGCAATGGCCTAATCTTTACAAACGGGATACAGAGTAAAACCAAAATGCATTCATTCGTGTTGGGCACAAGGCATAAGTGGTGGGTGATGCTCCACAAATGGTGACAGAAACTTAAAAGGAAAACGGAAGCAGCTTAGCAAATGAAAAATGACACCTCTATAAGGACTGGAATTCTAGTACAGACTCCGCCTCTAACAGTTGATTTCATAGGCAGACTCCGGACCATTTGACCCAAACTCCACCTTCTTCCTCTGTCGACAGCGACCATCCACCCCCTCTGCCGACATTGACCTGGTTAGCTCTGTACAAAACATACTGTTTCGTTGGCGAAACTCGCGTGTTCAATACGCACTGTTTTCAAGTAAACAAAAAAAATACAAAGTCAACACAACCGTCAAATATCCGTCGCCAAATGTCGGCGCCGTTGATTTGATCGATTAAATAGAAACCAAGACGACCATCAAATATCCACCGCCGGCGTCGGCGATGTTGATTTGATCGATGCACCTTTGACTTCTAACCAAGACAACCGTTACTCGGTTCACCACCTCTCCAAACTATGTTCGAACGAGGGTGTTCAACGAGAAACGAGAAACCAAACCGGGAGTGTTCTAAGTTACGTTACCTCTACTTCTATCGAGGTTCCTCTGGAGAGCTCCGCGACTACGACTACGATCTACGACTACTACGACTCTGCAAAGGAAGTCTTTGACAGAGAAGTTCTACGAACTAGAGAGAAAAAAGATAGATTCTGCGACGGTGCAGTTTGTGATTTGATTTTGCCGTCTTGAGCTTCTCTCTCTTCCCGATCTTTATACCTCGCTCTTGTCCCCATAGTCATAGTAACTGCCTTCGCGCCTTTGTCTCCCACGTTCTTCATTCCTGTCAACCGTGCGGGTAACTTCCTCCTTGTTGCGTAACTCCCACGAGTGTGAAACCGCGCTGCTATGCAGCAACTTGGCAAAACGACATTGAGCCACCCTTATAGTTATCCACCAGGGTTCGATGATCCGCCCCGACTCCTCAAGCCAAACTACATTCATCCTTGTTGCGTAACTCCCACGAGTGCGAAACCGCTCTGCTACGCAGCAACATGGCAAAACGACATTGAGCCACCCTTATAGTTATCCACCCAGGTTCGATGATCCGCCCCGACTCCTCAAGCTTACATTCATACTTGTTAATAAAATGGCGGCGTATCACAAACAACACCGCAACGCTGAGCTCCCAGCCTTGCAACATCGATGCACTCACAATATCAATGCCACTTTCGATGGTGACTCATGGCTTACAACATTGCTCTCTAAACAACGTAGCTCTTAGTATCCCGACATCATCGAATTCCCACCATTGATGCCCAAGTTTATTGAATTCACGGTGTTGTTGAGTTTCTCAACACTGGACTAAAGCTCATCAACGTCGTCGAGCTCGCGACCTTGTTTTGGGCAAAACAATATCACTTTCATGGCATTGTTAAACTCTTGCAACATTGTCTTTGACTAAACAATGTCGTTTCTTTCCTAGTACCGCAGTGTTGTTTTTACCTTCTGCGGCGTCGTATTCAACTAAATGACACCGTCTAAAATAATTATAAAATACTAATGAATTAATCTGACCATCACTAGTCAAACTCGTGTGTTGACCAACAACATCATTAGCGCCAAAACGGCTCCGTTTGCTTTTCCTTTCGCGACATTGTTTTTTATTTTAAACACTGTCGTTTGCTAATACAGCGGTACCATTGGGCTTACTCGCGGTACCATTCTTAATTAAACGACACCGCTAATATGGCCAAAAAATACCAATTCATGGAACCGCCGCGAGATTGCACTCGCATTGGGCTGGGCGGATTTTGGTCACTTACCTGATATGGTTTTTAATTAATCGATACCGCTTATCAAGGCTCTCGCGGCATCGTTTTTAAATCCGCGGTACCGTCTTAACTCTCTGCGATGTCGCTTGTCTCCATGCGGTACCGCTTCTCCCCTTCCAACAAGGAATAAAAACAACAACAATAATAATAAAAACTCCTTTTCCACACCGATACTACGCGCGCGGCCCCCATCTTGTTTTCTGGCCAACAGTGTCGTTTCCAGTGCCGTGGTACCGCTGAGCTTCCTTGCGGTAATGTTTTTATGTTTCGCAGTATCGTTTTAACTCTCCGCTACACCGTTCGACTCCAAACGACACCATTTTTTACACGCGGTATCGGATTAAATGCCGTGACTAATTAATGCGGCATTTAATTTCGGAAAAATTAATTTTAGGTGTCAACAAATGCCCCCACAATTTGGTTTATAAGAATTATGAACCAAATTGTTGACAAAATTTAAAGAGAACACCGAAAAACATTACCTGGCCTCAGCAGCAGCACTGATGATTTGTTCTAAAGCATTAGTGGCCAACAACCGCCAGGGGCGGATACATGAGGGTTTAGGGGTGTCCCGGGACACCCCTAAAATTTGAGAATACGATTATTCAACCCCCGGTAGTAGTTTTGTATGGATAAAAAAAATTATAATTAGTGATTCGGGATACCCCTACAACGATAATCCTATCCTCGGTAGTAGTTTGTGTATAATTTAAAAAAATAAGCGATAGTCTGTTTTATTCAAACTTAGGATATACTAAATTTTTTAAACATTGTCCTCCATTAAATTGCAACTCATTTGTTGTTCTATTTTAAACACTACATAATAGTAAAAAGCTATTCCTAATCCCCGACTATTTCCAAAACCTAACAATTAACTACCCTTAATTTGAATTGATTTTACGATTACACAACAAGTGTTGAAAGAGTCTTTTCAACTTTGAGTTACATAAAAAATAAGGTTAGAAATCCATATGCGATCAGTTCGTGAACTATTGTCTAGAAGGATATACAGATTTGTTGAGCAATTTACCAAGCCTATTTTTATTCTTTTTCAGAATATAAAAATATGTCGTGGCCGTATGTTAAAATTTGTACTAGTCCGATATTTTTTTATTTATGAATTTTTTTTTTTAAGAGGACACCCTTGTTAAAATTTTCTAGATCCGCCACTGACAACCGCGTTAAGGCCTCTTCCTTGTGAAACTAGGTTTCCTTCTCCAACTAAAGACCATTCTCATCATCCTTTGCCAACGTAGGGAAGGGCCTCGAGAAATTAAATTCCATGTAGAATTGGAACACTTCAAATGTATGATCCCTTTAGAACAATGTTGTTGGCGGCATTTGTGCTTCCATGCATGTATAACAAACCTACTTCGTCACTTCCTTAGGCTAAATGCATAGCTGCTTTGCCATGCAATGTTGCAGCGGCCGACAATTGTGTGTGTGTTTTTTTTTTAATAAAGAGACAATGAGCACAAGCAACACGGCCAAAGTAAGCAAACACCATTGCTAGTTTGCCACAGCTCTCGTAACATTGTTTAGTCCCATTGGACCAATCCCCATCGTCATCTGATATAAATATTGTGGCCACTTCGCTGAACAGTGAACAACGTTGTTTACTCTAGCCATCATACGCCAAGGGCCCTTTTTTGGGATTGGCCACACACAATTTTGCCAACTAATGAAATAAAGTCGGTCTATGATAATTATTGGCGAAATGAAAATAATAGAATGGCCTCGTACTACAAACGATCGTGTTCCAACTTTCTCCTCTGGTTTGAATTTTCACTGACGTGTAGGGAGGAACAATGTTGCTTCGGTCAAACAACCCTGTCGCGACCCCTTTTGCAACGTTGTTTAGGCCTTTGTTTAAAAAATGTCGTTTTCATCCACCAACAGCTCTGTTTTTTCTTTTTCCAACGGGGCTTCTTTGGTAGAATTACTTTTTATTATGTTTTTTTTTCGACCGCTTCAATTGTCACTTTTTTTTCCATCACAAACCCGCAATGTTGTTTGATCACAACGTTGTTTTCTCCAAACAACACCGTTTTTTTAAAATTGCATCAGGCGTCCAACTCCAATCCGGGCAACCCTGGCCCAAAAGAATCCCCCAAACAGCGTTGTTGCTGCTCCCGCTGTGCTGTTTTGGCCAAAATTCCCTTTATTATTATTATTATTATTATTATTGTAAAACCAACGCACCGTTGATGTAAATCAAAACTAGATTGGTGAAAACAGACTCGAGGACAATCTCAAACAACACCGCGGCGTTGTTTCTTCTTGCCATTTGAAACAATCCCGCAAGCAAATTCCGCAGGGTTGCTTCGAGCTAAACGGCCCCGTTTTTCTATATATTTTTTTCTATTTATCTAAAACCAACGGTGTTGGCTTTTACTTTATCCTAGCAAAGCCTCGTGATCCCAACAACGCAACACCGCACCGCAGCTTTCGCCAAAACGGCCATATATGTCTTTCCATTTTTTTTAAAATTCTTTTCTCAGGACTATGCCGTGTTACGGCCATAAATTTCCCATTGCCGTAGAACTACTCTACGAGAATAACTATAATAATCATCTTTCACCAATATTGTTTTTTCAACGCTGCTGTCCATTGGTTTTCGGCCATGAGCAATGCGTACTCCTTTCTCCGCACTGGCCTCTACAACTTCAACAGGAACAATAACAGTTAAATGGCACTGTTGTACCGGTTTTAATCTCTTGAATTAAATCCCAATGGATCTGTTTTGTTTTATTGGTCCACCGAGAACTCACCATTTTAGCTCGGAGAAGAAACATGAATTGGTATTACACCACACCGGCTGGGACTAAGTTGACCCTACCGCTGGCCTTAAAG